AGTTTAAACATAGCTAAGAGGAAGGGAAAATACCTATATTGGAGAAAATGAGTCTATTAACACTGATGCTTTTCACAACTACTGCATACCAAAACATTCTGGAGAAGAGAAGATCTGCATTTCGGCACCAGATTGTTAGCTTTCCAAACATGTGCCATCAAGGTCACAATAGATTGATGTAGTCTTTACAGAAAGAAGCAGTAAGCTGTAAGCTGCAAGCTGCAAGCTGCAAGGCTCTTCATGAAGCCAGAAGTACCTAATAAGTTGGAGAGTTGCTCCCTGCTGCTTTTTGCTTGTGCTTGATGGATGGTTGTAGATTCACTGGCGATTCTCCAGACCTGCCTTGGCAATCATGTGGAACATATTATCCTCTTGGGCAAAACTGCCAAATCCATTCCAACCTTTCCACTCAGCTGTAAACCCAAACGCTTAAGCACAAATCACTCTCATGACAATGCACTCTATTGTAAAAAATTCCATAAAAGGCTGGAAAGGATACCAGCGAATTTACCCTCTCCACCGTTATCATCCTTCGGTCCTTCTTGTTCCAAAAAAGTCTAATTTATTTATTTTTGACTTTGGATGCTTTATATACATAGTGATCAAATATACGGTACTGAGATGATAACAAAGCACTTAGATATTTTTAGGTAGACACTAACAAATTTACTCTTTACCTTCTGCTGTAGTGCTCTCTCCAGACTTGCTCCTTCTGCTCTATGCATTTTCGTGCATTTATGAAGATCTAACCTCCATTAATAGTAGAAACCTCAGAAAGGACACTGATAACTCAGTCCAACAAAATTTTGTCTGGATATCCAGCTTTGCAACTTTAAAATCATTTCAACCTTCCATCCATTTTGTTGTATTCATCTGGAGTCATCACCATAGTACATTGCAGTCACCTCAAGTGACTTCCTTCTCTAGTGTATGCAATCAAATTTTTTTTAGCATGACAAAGCCCTGCCCATTATACTGCTTGCATATGGTATGAGAGCTCATTGCTTTAGACAAGCTGTTTCACAGAATCACACAGAATCACAGAATGTTAGGGATTGGAAGGGACCTCAAAGGATCATCTAGTCCAATCCCCCTGCTGGAGCAGGACCACCTAGATCAGCTCCATATTCCACTCATGTCAGAGCTGACCATCACAGCCACTGTGACTTTCTGCTCAACAGTCAAGTCATTTGGAGCCCACTCCTGTGGACTTCCTGAGTCTGGATTTTCAAATGCTGAACCCTCAGTGGAGGCACTCTGAAAAAATAGCTCAGATGTGGGTTGCTGGTGGGGAAAGGTGAATGGGGTGGGCACGATGAAGGTGGTAAAACATTCCCTTCCTATCTTCTTATCTTCTTAGCAGCAAAAGCCTGATTGCTTTTGGCAGGAGAAAAGCACATCACTGTCTGCAAACCGCCCCTTGCAGCTGTTATAGTTTCACCCAGTTATAATCGCATATATGCATGTTTCCGAAACGAAAGCCACAGGGTCCTACAAATGACTTCATCGTTCTTCTCTTAGCTACAGTTGAGAAGGTTATGTTAAAAGTCTGAAGTCTAAAATCAATACAAAGAATTGGTGTTTCTTGCTCTTCCAGCCTTACATGTATCACTAGGTAACATCTTTGAAATGAAGCATTATTTGACATCTGTGTTGCATTATATCACAAATGGAGATTACACTGTCCTGGCTGCTGTTCTTCTAACACTTGGGTGATTTTCTGTACTAAAAAAATGGACTGAGTGGCTCTTCAGATTTAGTCACACAACAATATGATTTATTTCTACATCAGTTTTATGAGGACGTCTATGCAAGAAAGGCTCTGTCTGCAATAATTTCTTCTGTCTGGTTACCAAATGAGATTGTTGATTCATTGATTGTATCATTCAATAAGCTTTTAAAGACTTAGAGGTTTGATTTACGTTCTATGAATAAGCTGAGAGAAGTTTTGAAACAGAACCCTAAGATACTTATGTCAGCAGAAATTAAAGATGTGAGTACTTTACCCTAAGACATTGTTAATAGGGGTTTAATTTTATTTGATTTCAAATTCATGACAGAGGCCAATGAAAATTTTATTAATTTGTATGCTGTGGGAACTACATTCGCCAAATTGATTTGGAGGATTTGTATAATATTATGGTCTTAGAGCATTGTATGGATTCTGACCCTTATATTTCATCCCTTTTGAAGTAGAGTACTTTTTTATTTTCATACAGCCTTGTTAATTTATTCTGTTCTTATAGCTTAGTTATTACTTAAACTACAAAAAAATAGTTATCTACCAACTGAACACAGTTATTTTTAGCTTCATGTTGTCTTTCATCATTTTTAGCAGAGTTAGCTTTAAAAAATGTGGGTTTTTTCATGTTCAAATCATTCTATCGTGTGAATAAACTGCAGACATAGAAACTTAACTTTGTGAGACATCAGTTCTTCTAAAGGTCTTCTGCTAAGAACATTCCATAACATCTATGACTTATGATTAGGATAACATGTAGTGTCAGTGGAGAGTCCATAAGTGATAAAACTTTAGAACATGGTCGCGTCTCAGAAGCAGGGAGATAGTGGGTTTATACTGACAGAAACTGAGCATGACAACAATATGGGATATTATAATATGGGATAAATATAGAATATCCAACTGAATGCAGAAAGTCTTATGCCTTACCATCAGGTGTGGTGGTTAACACTGCCAAGGATTATTGCAGTAATTTGCCTAAAAATTTGAGGACAGAGAAAATTGTGAACTCTCCATTCCATGTGGTCCTATCTCTTTGCAGAAACTCCCAGCCAATTCAGGTACCTATTGCTTTCTGTCCCAGTCTCAGCCCCCAGCAGGCTTTGGCCAGATACATTCCTGTTCTTCTCCAGAATTGTCCTTAGGGAAGGATGCTTTGTCCACTGGTTCTAATACAAATCACGTTATCAAGGATCAAGTCTCTTTTTCCCAAATTACTTGCATTCATTCACCTGACATGCTGCTTCTTGCTGTAATCCAAATTCCATCTTTCTCTAATATTTTCTTCTGACAGGTTTTCTTAGACACATTTTCTGGTTTACCAGTTTCACCAGTCTTCTGATGTCCCCTGGAAATTTCCACATCCTCAGGAAAGTTCTGTTACTGCAGTCCTCATAGGCATCTCTGGTTCTGTTTTATGCTATCAAACCTTCAAAAACCCTTTTCATTTTGCTCTTTCCTTGCATCATGCTCTTTCACTCTTATTTCACTTAAGTCTTTTTGATGTTCTTCTTTATTCTTAAGTAGATGACTTAAGCTTAATGACTTAGTAAACCATTCAGATAAACCATCAAATGGCTTATTTGAACTCAAGCAGTAAACTGAGATTTAGCTCATAGTTTTGTTCTTTACTACCTGACCACTTTAGTATCCTGGAGAAATGCTGGTCA